GAAGCTTTTCTCCGTATGAAGGACCATAAATAAAGCAATTTAAACTGCGAAATACTTTCTCTGTATAATAGAGAGGACCATAAACTTCGCCGGTTAATAACTGCGACATATTTCCTCTGTACAATAGAAGGAACCAATAACTTCGCCGTTTAATAGCTGCGAAATATCTCCTTTGTATAATAGAAGGGACCATAACCTTCGCCGTTTAATAACTGCGAAATAGATCCTCTGCGTAATAGAAAGGACCAAAAACTTCGCCGTTTAATAACTGCGAAATGTTATCTCTGTATAGAAGAAAGGTCCGAAAACTTTGCAATTTAATAACTGCGAAATATTATCTCTGTTCATTGAAAGGGATCAAAATCTTCGCAGTTTAATATCTTCGAAATATTCTCTCTGCATAACGTAAGGGGCCATAGCGTTTTCGAAAAGCTCCGTTTTCTTGACGGATTCTGCAACCGCTATTTCAGAGGTATTTGAAAACGTAACAAAAATGCACCCTTCGTTTCAAAGTGGCTAGAAACTCAGGCAGAGAGACTTCCGTTGAGTGGCCAAACTGACACGCAAGTTTCCTCGCAAGTCAACTCACGGATACTTGTGACTAATTGCGTTTAGTGCACGTTAAAGGTGTACGGTAATCTTAAGGCCGCTTACTGTACCTCTCTGGGGCAGATCATTATGAATGCTTTAGATAATAATCTGCGAGCAGATATGTAGTCAGTTAATGACCATTGAAGGCAGCTGGTAGCAGCTTAATTAAGGCTCATAACTTTTGATGGATCGATAATACCATCTTCTATTAACTAGTGTTAAATTTCAAACATTTCCTCTGTCACAAACCCGTAGAACCTTGATGTAGTTGTTGTTGCCCTCCGATATTTATATCTTCAAACGTTACAGAAAGTTTTATCAAAAACCTTGTCATTATTCAATGTTAAAAAAATTGCGTTTCAAGAAGATGATCAGCGTAACTTGTTGAATGACTATGTTTCAGAGCGTTATATTAGCATACACTGTTATGAGAAGGTAGTATCCATCTGTAAAATATGGAACACAGCGTTAACTTCCAAAAAGAAAAGAAAGAAAAAAAATAGGCCTTCGTGGTTCACGTTCTCCATGCAACGCGGACATTTCAACTTGTTGTTTTGCAGAGGACTGCATATGTACCAATGCGAGCGCGCACGTACATAGCCATTGTATTGCTCACTAAAAACCTTTTTTTAGCGACATTTTTTTGACGTTGCATTTTTACATGCAGTTTTCTTGTAAATATACTTCATTTTTTTACCATGTAATGATAGTCTTCGTAACCCTGTCCGAATAAAGATTGTGCATAGAAAATATTCCCATTTATTAAACATGTTAAACGGCGAAGATTTTGGTCCCATCAAATATACAGACAAATTACTTCGCAGCTATTAAACGGTCCTTTCTATTATACAGAGGTCATATTTCGCAGTTATTGAACGGCGAAGTTTTGGTTCTTTCTGTTATACAGAGGAGATATTTCGAAGTTATTAGACGGCGAAGTTATTGGTCCCTTCTATTATACAGGGGAAACATTTCGCAGTTGTTAAACGGCGGAGTTTTTGGTCCTTTCTAGTATACAGAGGAAATATTTCGCAGTTATTAAACGGCGAAGTTTCTGCGGTCCTTTCTATTATACAGAGAGAATATTTTGCAGTTATTAAAGTGCGAAATCTATGGTCCTTTCTATTATACAGAGGAAATATTTCGCAGTTATTAAACTGGTTACATATGTAATTCATCGAGTCATATAATTTCAAAAAATATATTCTCTCTATAGAGTTCATTAAGTACAAAATTTGCATTTGTCAAACTACCGCTCGGTGGATATTATATTTATAAAAATTTTGCATTTACTTACTGCTCATGTTTCCCAACACGTTTATTGTTTTTATTCAGTGGAAGGGAAAAAACGGTAATGGCAAACGAATCCCCAAAACGGTAGAGACCACCAAAAATCACAATAGAGACACAAGGGTCTATAGTTAACAGCTTTTAAGCCATCGACTATAAGCCTTACCCTTTTTCTTGAACGGGGTACATCGTGACCAAAACCAAGAGGAAACTGAATTTACTGGGGTTTGACTTTAACCTCTTTGTTACAAAAAAGAGTTTAATTTTCTGAAGAAAAATTCTAACACACCTGGCAGCTAAATGAAGGGGTGTCCACCGGTATTCACTTGTGCCAATGTTAACATCCGCTCCATGTTCCAGCAGAGACTTCACGATTCTGTGTAAGTTGTATCGAGCTGCGACATGAATAAGCGCAAAGCCATGTCTTTCTGTCTTATCGATATCTTGTTTGTTCATGTTGCTGAGTTCTTCTTCGACGAACTCCAACTTGTCTTCACGGATTGCTTCCAATACCTTCAGAGTATGAGCCGAAACGGGGGTTGTGACTTCGCTCGTTTCCTGAGAATAGACAAAAGTTGGAGGACGTTTTGTGTCGGGCTCGAATTCTACCCGTAAGGCCTGTAACTCGCATTCACCAGTTTCTATCTGGTTCTTCTTGAACCTAAGGGGATTCCAACTTGAATCGTATCCTTTTGGCCCCCGTTGCGTTGTATTTTCGTCCGACATTTTTCTTTCTTGCTTCGCGTTTTGTGCGTGACAGCAACTAATAGTTCTAGCGGACAACAAAAAATATGTTAGAGAGGCGAGCTTACGTGGATGATTAGTATGCAGTGGCAATTGCATAGATTAACAAAGTTGTCATATGATATCGACCAGGCGATCACATCAAATGCCAGTCGTCAGTCCATTTGTTTCGAGGAGGGCGCCAATCAGCTAATAGCTGCTCTTGTATTCGTGTTCCTGTTTTGTAATTAATCGCGTATTCAAGACCATAAGGAATTGTTGAAGGCTACAAAATAAGGAATTATTTACCACGATGCTTTGAGATCGATTCAGTGAATATCGATGGTCGACTCAGTGTAGAGCGCTACTATGGATTGGACTCTTGGACCATTGGACTATTGGCCTTTTTTGGACTCTTTTTGGCTTTCTTTTTCGGTTAGCTGTCACAAGTGTCTTGTTTTATCAAGGCATATGTTTTTATTTTCGGTCTTTTTATTCGGGGCTGGTAATGTGCAGTCCTTTTCAGTGAAATGTTTGGTGGGATACACGATTCTATTTCTTCAGTTCCATTATAACATAAAACACGTGCTGGCCCTCCTTAATTCCTATTGAGCCATCATGATAAAAATCTCTATATACGCACTTCCGTGGGTAAAAAACATGACGTATGCAGTTTCAATTTAGCTGTAAAGATTCCGTTGAGTTTAGCTGCGAGTTCCTTTGTTAAGTTTTGGTAGTTTAAACATTATTCTGAACAATCCAAACCTTTGACTTTGACTTTTACCAAGCTCAGATTTAAAGTGCCACTATGATGAAATTCTCGATATCCATTTCTTTACATTTTCGTACACATTAGGTCTTTCCTAGATATCTTGCCTAATTTCAATTTTTCACGAACATTAAAACTCGTGGTTTTTGGACCTTAATTTCCGAGAATTTACGGCCCCCATTAATTTTCCTTGTTCCAAGTCTTGGTTGAAAATTTGAGAAAATGACGTCATTTTCTCAAAAATACCGCACGGGTTAAAATTATGATAACAATTAATGTAAAAAATTGAACGAATATATGAGCCAAAGCTTTTGTTACTCTTTATGCGAATTGCTGTGCTAATTGTTATTATAATTTCAACCAGTGTGGTATTTTTGAGAAAATGACGTCATTTTCTCAAATTCTCAACCAAGACTTGGAACAAGGAAAATTAATGGCGGCCGTAAATTCTGGGAAATAAAGGTCCAAACGACATGAGTTCTAATGTTCGTAATAGACTGAAATTTGGCAAAAAATCTAGGAAAGACCTATTGTGTGCAAAAATGCAAAAAAATGGGTATGGAGAATTTGATCATAGTGGCACTTTAAATTTAGCTCTGGAATTCATTGAGTTAATCGCACTAACTTGTCAGTGGCGAGATCAGGCTGCTACAGTTTACAAGACATCAGTAAATGACTCTAACCAGCAGAAGCTACTATAAAAAAAAAGTATCAACAGGCAATACTCACTGCAGTGGGGTATGTCTCCAAGTCTGTAGCTCCATCTCCAATCATGACCAACCTAAAACAAGCGAAAAATCATACTTAATTCACTATTTCTCGGGGGTATATCATGTTTATGGGCTTTTCAATTGGATAATATCCCAAGGCTTTTAGCCAGATGGGTATCCTGAAGACACCTACAATTTTTTGAGACAAGTGTTCCTTATTTCACATGCCACTTTAAACCCAAA